CCTCCCACATCAGCATATCCGCCATGCGTGTTTTGGTTTGTCGTGGCCGTTGACGTAGTAGTCCCACATGGCTTATTTTTTTTACGATTTCACCCCCTGTTTTCAAATTTTCTTTCAAAAATATTATATTTATTCACAATTTCATCCATTTTTTTCATAATTATTTTCAATTTCGTTCTTATTTTATTTTTTTCTCAATAATTTAAATAAAAGTAAAATAAAATAAAATTTTTTATTATTTATATTTATATTTTATAAATAGAAAAATTATTTTGGGCCAAATTTCTGAATCCCACTGTTACAATAACACCACGCGACTTATCTCTTTCGGCCGTTGATGTTGCTAGATCTTTTTCCTCCTCTCACAATCACGTCTCTCCCTCCTAGTTCTCTCCTCTCTTTCTCTCTCTACCCAATCATGATTCTTCTCTCTCTTCTTCTCCTGTTTTTTCTTCATTCTTTCTTTCTCTGTTAATTAATTATATATATATATACATATATCTGTATATTATATATAAGGCCACATATTTCCTTCTTTTGCTCCCAGAGTATACTTTGGGTTCTTCTTTTTTTTTTTCTTTTTTTTATTTAATTATATATATATATAAATATAGATATATATATATATCCACATGTTTTGTTTTTTTCCCTTTTTATTTCTTTTGTACTTAGCTGGCACCAGTTACGTATTAGACAAAATTAATTTTTATATATGTGATCTTGTTAATGAGATCAACTAATTTTTATTTTATAAAAATTATAACATATTTATTTTTCTTAATAAATCATTAATATCTTATTTTGATAATCCAACGACTAAGAATATTTTAAATTAAATCATAAAATATTTTACTTTCATTATTAAGATCTTTATCTTAATATAAAATCTTTAAATTTAATTAAAAAATTTATTATATAAATAAAATAATAAATATGATAATAATAATATTATTATCGTATATTAAAATAAATTGTCAAATAAAAATATATTTATATATTATATAAATAATTAAATCTTGCGCATAATAATTATATCCCTAATAATACATATATATATATATATATATATATTCTTATATCTAACACACACACACATATTCTTATACAAAAAGATGATATTTCAACATAAAATTATATGTTATCCTTAAATTAGTTAGCAACTCAATCAAATTTTGGTATATCACTACTACTTTTAATATATTAAGGACATCATATTTTTTGGTTTTTTTCAAGCGCTTAGAGACTACTCCAAATGTTTTGACTGTCTTAGTTGAATATCCATTAATATTTTTAGATATTTAAATATAGTTTCCTTTGTAAAAATATCAAACACAGTCGTTCCATATTTACCATGACAAATTCTATCCACCAAACATAAACTAGAGAATGAAATTAGCAAAAGAAAGCATCTGAATCACAAATCATGGCGAAATCCATGAGATTGAGTTGCAACTTGTAGTATTTTTCATTTCTCCTACCAACACAATCCTAAAGAATTTGATTATGATCATTTGAAATTAAACCCAGGTAAATATTTGAAGTAAATTTTAGAATCTTAATCAGTGTTTAATAATTTAGGAAGTTTAAGAAAAATGAGATAGTAGTTCTCTAATCAATTTTAAATGGAGGATCCATCTCTGTAGCCTTATAAGTAGAAAAATAGACTAAGGTTACAAAATTTAGAATGTCCAATATTTCATAATTTCAGATAATGTTAACCTTAAATGTGATCAGAACTAAAGAACCTTAACCTTAACCTTATGATATTTTTTAAATGTCCAATATTTTTGCCTTAGGTCGTGATTCATTACTCCAGCTAATGTTTACCTATATACAAATATATACGTTTATATGTGTGTGTGTGTGTGTGTGTGTGTGTGTGTATATATGTACGTAACAGTAGCAGAGACGTGAAAGAAATGTCCTTTTGTTCAAGTCAGCATAAAAGCTTGAGTATCAAGTTTAAAAGAGTCGAACCCTTAGGCAGCCAGCTGATTTTGTCTTCCATGTATATAGATATATATACACCCAGTCAAAGCGCCAAAATTAAACATGGTTAGCCTAGTCAATCAGCTCATAGCTACATGCGTGTGTATTTATATATACTTTAGAAATTTCGTCTACATATACATAAACATAATGAAATTCAACTGTTGAATCATTAATCGGACAAGAGTCTCTTATTAGATTTGATTTTCGTAAGCTTGAAAAATATTTCTGATGTATTTCAATAAACTATGCAGGAAATATCCTTTTGTACGTGAGTATAAACGGAGAAGCGGGTATAGGTATAGCCAACATATATATACGTACAGTATATAAAATCTTGTATCTGAATTGCAAAAGCTAGCAAGCAACAACAATAAAAAAAAAATGGAAGTTTGGCATGTTGTGATTTTGGCCTTTATTACTCCTTTCTTATTTTTTTTCTCTTTTCTTTATGTTACTTTGTTACTTTAATGGAAGAAACGGTCGTCGTACTGCCGGTGGTGCTGGAAAACATGGACATAATAGAATTGTTGGACATACCGCCCATATTGGATTTATGGAACACACCACAATAGACATTGACATAGGCGCTGGTGGTGGCGATGGAACTGGTTTTGGCAGTGGCAGAGGTGGATGCAGCGCTGGTGGTGGTGGTGGTGGACCTGGTTTTATTGGTGGCGGAGGCGACAGTGGATGCAGTGCTGATGGTGGAACTGGTTTCAGTGGTGGCGGAGGTGATAGTGGATGCAGTGCTGGTGGTTGTGGTGGAACTGGTTTTAGTGGTGGCGGAGGCGACAGCGGATGCAGTGCTGGTGGTGGAGGTGGAGGTGGTTGTTAATATCAAACTATTGAAGACTGGAGTCAGAAAAATATTAACTATGATTGATTTATTTAGTATTGGATTCTTTCAATTCCTTGGTTATTTTGTATATGTGCAATACAAAATTTTTGTAGTTCGTTTTTATTTTTTGTTAATTATTATGTTGTAATATTTAAAATAAATGTCATATTAAATTTTATTAATAAATTAAAAATAGTATTAAAGAGATGTGATTATAGGCATGAATTATCTAATATAAATAAAATAATTAAATCAAATAAATTAATTAGGTTAATTTCCTAAAAACTAAAATCAAATTAGATTAAAAATTAAAAATTTGACATATAGTATGTATAAAAATGAATGATTATTTATTGTAAATAATAAAATCATGATTTTTTGTAAAGTATATATTATATTCATATTTTATACTGCAATACATACATGTTTAATATTAATATTAATGATATATTTAATTAAAGATAATTTCCTTGATTTGGATTGTATACTAATTTATCTTTTCCTTTTTAAATTTTAGAAAATGATTTTTTTTTGTTTCCAGTTTGATATTTTTTTTCATCAGACCATCTTATTTTTATCACCATATATGTCATCTTTATTTGACAGATTTAACCAATTTTTATACAAGCACATATATATATATATGTGTGTGTGTATATATATTCTTTTTACAAAAATAAGCATATATATATATATATGTGTTTTTCAAGTCACAAAGCGCAAGGAGTGATGAGGGAGACTAACGTACCCTCAAAGAAGTGTTTGCAAAGCTTTTCTTGAAGTGGAATCCGCAGAGTGTTGAATTTCTCGTTATTGTTCGTACAACCTATGAAGACTAAAGTTGTAAGCTCAATCGGGTGTTGCAATTCTAACCTCTGCAATGTACTCCAGGAGACATATATTTACACCTCCTGCACTGAAGTGTTGAAACTGGCGCAAGCATCAAGTTGCTCAAAACGTTGCTGGCAATCCTCCACATTGTTGACTTTGGCGCGACCTCATGTGTCTGCCAGGTTATTGCTCGTTACTGGTGGCAAAAGAAGATACTAAACTGTTGTTTGAATATTTCCCAGGACATCTCTGTGTAAAGATTTGAACAAGTTTTGAGAGGAAATCAAATTTGTAGTTTTGGTAAAAAAAAAAAAGAGTGTGTATTACTCTGTCTTCTTGCTCTTCTGTATATATTTATTGAAGAAGAAGTTACAGTATTTTAAGGAAGCTACTTACCTCCTTTTTACATAAAGTAAAAATTAATATTCGAAAAAAATAAAATAAACAAAAGCAATCACGTGATGAGTATATCACCCACTGCACAATCGGTTACAAAGAATATGTGTGAAATCATTAACAGATCTATAGGTCACCAATAATTGCCAAACACGGTGATAGACCCTCAACGGTTTCTGTATTGCTGCTTCTGAGCTGGAGGGAGACGACCTTCACTCTCCTGAGTGGCAACTCTGCCACCTTTGCCTTTCCTTTCCTATCTAAGTATCTACCACGTGTGCATTCTACTGATGTAGATTATTGACTACATACATCATCTTCATTCTTTGACACTCCCCTACAAGATGAGCTGTAGATATTTTCTACTCTTATCTTGTTCATGTGAGAAACCAGTGTTTCCTTACCCAATGATTTGGTGAACATATCGGCCAACTGTAATCCACTTTGAACATGTGAAGTAATTACCATTCCTTCTTTAATCTTTTCTCGAATTAGATGACAATCCAATTCGATATGCTTAGTACGTTCGTAAAAAACTGGGTTCGCAGCTATATACATCGTTGATTTGTTGTCACAATGAAGAACAGTAAGATCAAGATGGTTGATCTAAAGATCGTTTAGCAGGTACCTTAACCAAGTTAATTCGCAACAAATTATTGCCATGGCACAGTATTCATCTTCTGCTGATGATCTGAAAATTGTTGGCTGCTTCTTTGATCTCCAGCTGACTAGACTTCTCCCGAGCAATACACAATAACAAGTGACAGATCTTCTAGTATCTGGGCAAGAAGCCCAGTCGCTATCATTGTATGCTGAGAGGTGTACATCATAATTTGCAGCATAAAATAGACCCTATCCTGGTGTTGCTTTGATATATATCAAAACCTTGTGAGCGGCATTAAGATGACTGCTCTGTGGTTCCTCCATAAATTGACTAAGTAACTGAATGGGATAAGACAAGTCTGGTCTGATGATAATGAAGTACATTAGTCTTCCGATGAGCCTCCTGTAACTTATTGGATCATCAAGCAACACATCATCTTCTTTAGATAACTTTAAGTTGCAATCTAAGGGAATCCTTAATGGTGAAGATCCACTCGTTCCGAAGTCATCGAGCAAATCCAAGGCGTATTTTCTCTAATTAATATGTATTCCACTTCTGCCTCTGGTAACTAAATCCCCATAAAAAATTTGAGATTTTCCAGATTTTTTATTTTAAATTTGCTGTTGATGGAGTCTCTCAATTCAACTACGGCCTCCTCATTGTTGCTTGCAACAATAATATCGTCCACATACACAAGCATTGCCATGAACATATTTTCCTTCTTCTTTGTGAAAAGACTATAATCCGCTTTCGACTGTATGAACCCCATCTGGACTGCAAAATCTAACAGCTTAGCATACCACTGTCTTGTTGCTTGCTTTAATCCGTATAAGCTCTTCATCAGCTTACACACTTTCCCCTTTATCTCTAGTACTTCTGGTAGCTCCATATATACCTCTTCATCAAGATCTCCATGCAAGAATGCATTGTTAACATCGAATTGGTGGAGAGACCAATTATTCATAGTTGAGAGAGCCAGTAGAACTCTGACGGTTACCATTTTTGCCACTGGTGAAAAGGTTTCGTGATAGTCCAAGCCCTCTCGCTGGGTGTACCCTTTCGCCACTAATCTGGCCTTATGCCTCTCAATACTCCCATCAGCATTGTACTTGACTTTGTATACTCATTTGCATCCCACTGCTTTCTTCCCTTCAGGCAAGTCACATAGAATCCATGTGTCATTCTCCTCAAGGGCAGTGATCTCAAGCTTCATTGCCCTTTCCCATTCTGGAACATTTCTTGCTTCAAAATAATTCTTAGGTTCAATGTGAGTAGTTATAGAAGATACATAAGCCTTGTATTCTAGGTTAATGTGATTATAAGAAACAAAGTCATTTAAAGGAAAAAAAAAATACCTACTTCACCAGACCCTTTCTTCTTACGGGGATCATTGTTCAGGAGTTCAGATGACGACACTTAGTGACACATGAAGTCCTGCAGGTATGCAGGAGCTCTCTTCTGTCTATCTGATCTTCTGCGAATATGAGTGGATGTATTAATTGGTGGTTGTGTTTGAACAATCTCGTTTCTATCTTTTGTTTGGGGACTCATAAAGTTTTCTACTTGTTCATCTCTTTGTTCACTCATTTCTGGTGGGGATGGTTGTAAGTTCATGAATTGAAAATTGTTGTAAGGGATATAGATCTCTTGCTGATTTTGGAGATTTTGATTCTCTTGAGAGTTCTGGTTTGAGGTTGACTTACAAGGGAATTCATTTTCGTGGAACACAACATCTCTTGACACGAAAGTTCTCTTTGTTTCTAAATCCATCAATTTATACCCTTTGATCCCTGTGGGGTATCCTAGAAAAACACATACCCTCCCTCTAGGATCAAATTTGTGTCTCCCATTTGTCAGTGTAGTGTAGTAGTCAAGGCACCCAAAAACCTTCAGATGATTGTAGGAGGGTATGGTTCCAACTAGCACTTCATAAGGGATCTTGTTGTTGAGAACAGAAGTCGATATCCTGTTTACCAGGTGAACAGCCGTGAGAATACAGTCAGACCAAAAAACCATCTCCAATCCACTTTGAAACCTGGGAGCTCTAGCAATATTAAGCAGGTGTTGGTGTTTTCTTTCCACCACAGCATTTTGTTGTGGTGTTTCAGTACAAGTCCTCTGGTGTAGGATCCCCCTTATTTGGTATAATTCTTTCAAGTTGAACTCCCCGCCATTATCACTCCTTATTGTTTTAACTTTGGTTTTAAATTGATTTTCAATCATGATACAAAAGTTTTCCAAGTTCATGGCCACATTTGATTTATACTTAAGCAAGTAAATCCAAGTACACCGACTTAATCATCAACTATACTCAGATAAAAACGAAAATTGTCATAAGAAATCTCATTGCAAGGGCCCCATACATCGCAATGAATAAGCTCAAAAGGTTTTGAGGCTCTGTGTTGTGTGTTTTCAAATGGGAGTCTTCGTTGTTTAGAATAATAACAGACGTTACAAGGTTTACATTCAGAAGATTTAATCTCACTATTATCTATTTGTCTAATCTTAGAATCTGAGGAGTGTCCCAACCTAAAATGCCATAAATTAAATCTTGTCTCTAATGCATTAACGACTGGTAACTGAAGTTTCTGAGGGAAACTTAGAAGAGACTCTCCTGCAGTAGCAGCAGCGTCCCCATCTCTCACCAAATGATACAAGCCATCCTTTACCCTACCCATACCAATGATCCTCCAAGTCGAAAGGTCCTGCAAAAAACAAGCATTGGATATGAAGGTCAAGCAACAATTCTGGTTTTCAGTCTGAAAAATTGGGTACACACAAAACGTTATTCAATGTCAAGGTTTTTGTGAGTTTAATGGATCTGGAATGAGCTGCTGCTATTCTGTTTCTATTTAGAAGAACAACTGAGTGTGATACCTTGAGTACATTTAAAGTGTAAGTGGAGGTCCTGCAAATGATGTGATCAGACGCACCTGTGTCGATGATCTAGGATGCCGGATCACTGTACCTTAGTAGGGTTTTGAGTTTAGATAAGCAAGTAAATATACCAGAATAGTTAGGCAAATTGTTTGAGTCATTTTCCTTTGAAGAAGAACTGGCATTCTGCTTCAAGAGTGCGACCAACTGATCATGTTGGTTTTTTGTTATCCCAAACAGTTCCTGTGTTGCGTCCTTTGAGACTTGATTTGCATGACTCTCTCCGGATTTGCTTCCCTTATACTGTTTGTGCCCTTTGAGATATCCATGGAGTTTGTAGCAAACCTCCACTGTATGCCCTGGCATTTTGCAGTGCGAGCAATTAGGTTTGTTTGAGTTTGCTTTGAAGCATCTCTCTAGTGAGTGCCCAGGAGCCTTGCAGTGGGTGGAATAATACTTCTTCGAGTTTGGAGTTTGTATGTTGCTCTACTTTCCTCCATCTTTGGTCATCATCGCCATTGTCTCCCCCTTTGGTTGGTCAGCTGATATATCCCTCCTTCTTTCTTCCTGCTGAATGATGGAATATACCTCATTCAATGTGGGAAAAGGCTTAATCAAGAGTACCTGAGCCTTCAATCCTTTAAAGGATTCATTTAACCCCATCAGAAATTTTATCACGCAATCTCGTTGTCGATAATCAACCACGGCTTTCAAGCCTCCACAGATACAATTGAGTATTGACTCATAGTTCAGCAGTTCATCAAAAAGTGCCTTGAGTTTGAAATAATAAATACCTACTGAGTCGCTTTCTTGTACGAGATTTACGATGTTCTGTTTCACTGCGTAAATCCTTGGTGCATTCTGCTGCGCATGCCTATGCTCAATCTCACTCCAAAGTTCGTGTGTCATTTCTGCATAGAGAGTACTTGTCTTAATGTCTGCTGACGGTGCGTTTTGCAACTAGGTGATCACTATATCGTTGCATCTGAGCCAGTATTCCATTAAGGGATTATTGGCATCAACTGGAGGAGGGACACTCCAGCCGATGAATTCTAACTTATTTTTTATTCTTAACGCCCTCTTCATAGACCTAGCCCATCCATGATAGTTTGTTGTATCAAGAAGCTGCGGAACAAGAACAGCTCCTGAGTTTTCATTGAGGGCAATGTAATATGGACTAATGGGATTGGTAGGATCAAAAATGGTTTCGCTCACGGTAAAGGGGTTGACGTTGAGGGTTTGATTTTGTTCATCTTAAGCCATGGCTCTGATACCATGTAAAGATTTGAACAAGTTTTGAGAGAAAATGAAATTTCCAGTTTTGGTGAAAAAATAGAGTATGTATTGCTCTATCTTCCTGTTCTTCTGTATATATTTATTGAAGAAGAAGTTACAATATTTTAAGGGAGCTGCTTACCTCCATTTTACATAAAGTAAATAAATATATTCGAAAAAAATAAAATAAATAGAAGCAATAACGCGATAAGTATATCACGCACTGCACAATCGATTACAAGGAATATGTGTGAAATCATTAACACATCAGTAGGTCACCAATGATTGCCAGACACGGTGATAAACCCTCAACGGTTTCTGTATTGCTGCTTCTTAGCTGGAGGGAGACGACCTTCACTCTCCTGACGTGGCAACTCCGCCACCTTTGCCTTTCCTTTCCTGTCTAAGTATCCACCACGTGTGCATTCTGCTGATGTGGATTGTTGACCACGTAGATCATCTTCATTCTTTGACACTCTGGACGATCCCCTCTCCAACTTGAGGAACCAGTCTTTTGCACTACCCTCCAAATTGAATGAAGCTAGGTCAACCTTGCCCTCCTCCAACATACTTTATTGCCTGAAAAAGTGTTCACAACAGTTTAACCATCCAAAGGAGTCATGTATACCACCAAAGAACAGGAAAATCAAACTTGGAGAATCGTGGTAGATATTTTCTTTCCTCTGCAGTTTCAGCATTTCCCCATTGCATCGATTGTGCACGTGCCGGTTAACACTCCATCCCCCATGTCTCTTCTTTCTACATGAGTTCTACCCAAGTCTTTTGACATTTCCTCTATCTGCTTAGACAAATCCTGTTTAGTCTCAAATGCATGCCTATCTTGCTCTCTTTCCGCCGTATCACTTGTTCTGTCCCCATGTTGCATCTTTAAGAAGCTATAAGACTGTCAACGGAAGGACCTGAAGCCTACCCTAATGTCCGGCAATGACACTACTTTTGTCCTTTTGTTCAAGTGAGCATAAAAGCTTGATTATTAAGTTTAGACAGCCGCCAGCTGATTTTGTCTTGTATGTATGTACCCAGTCAAAGTGCCATAATTAAAACAAGGTTAGCCCAGTCAATCAAGTCGTCGCTACATGCGTGTTATTTATATATACTTAAAGATTTCGTCTACATTTATACAAACACAGTGAAATTCAATTATTGAATAATTAATCGAACAAGAGTCTCTTATTAGACTTTTTGTTCGTAAGTTTGAAAAATATCTCTGAACTGTTTCAAGAAAGAACGTAGGAAATTTTCTTTTGTACTTGAGTATAAAAGGAGAAGCGGGTGTAGGTATAGCCAACATATATATACATATAATATATAAAATCTTGTATCTGAATTGCAGAAGCTAGCTAGCTACAAAATTAAAAAAATGGAAATTTGGCAAGCTATAATTATTGCCTTTTCTTCTTTTTTATTTTTGGGTCTTGTCTTAATGTTGCTTTCTTTATGTAATGAAGCAAAGCGCGGTCGTACTGGTGGTGGTACTGAAGGACATGGACATAATAGAATTATTGGGCATACTGCCCATACTGGATTTACGGGACACACCACAATAGATATTGGTGGAGGTGGCGGTGGATCTGTTTTTAGTGGTGGTGGAGGCGACGGCGGATGCAGTGGTGGAGGCGGAGACGGAGGCGGAGGCGGAGGTGGAGTTGGTTGTTAAAATCAAACTAGTTAGAAAAATATTAACTATGATCAATTTATTTAATATTGGATCTTTCAATGCGTTTGGTATTTTGTATATCTGCAGTGTAAAATTTTTGTAATTCGTTTTTATTTTTTGTTAATTATTATGTTGTAATATTTAAAATAAATGTCATATTAAAGTTTATTAATAAATTAAAATAGTATTTGAGAGATGTGCTTGTATATTTTTTTTAAGGTAGAAAGATGTGATTATAGGCATAAATTATCTAATTTAAATAAAACAATTAAATTAAATTAAATTAAATTAAAAGTTAAAAATTTGACATATAGTATGCAAAAATAAATAATTATTGATTGTAAATAATAAAATCATATTTTTTAAAGTATATATTATATTCATATTTTATATGTAATATGTATATATTTTAATATTAATATTTATGATTTGTTTAATTAAAGATAAATAGAAAATTAACAATAATAGATATAAATATCAGCTGTTAGTTTGTATTTTTCACTAAAATCTTAAAGAATGTTGTCAGAAACTTAGCTAGCAAAACAAAGCCAGATCCTTTAAAATCTAGTTTCCTTGATTTGGACTGGATACCAATTTATCTTTTCCCTTCTGAATTTTAGAAACTTAATTTTTTTGTTTTAGTTTTATATTTTTTTTCATCACCATATATGTCATCTTTATTTAACAGATTTAACCAATTTTTATATAAGCACATATGTACGTGTCCCCACACACACATATATATCACTTTCGAAAAATAATCATATTTAAACATATGATTATATGTTATCTTTAAATTACTTAGTAACTAAATAAAATCTTGATATATTCCACTATTAGTTTTAATACCCCAAGGACACACGTACTTGGTAATTCAATTAAATTATAATATTCCACTATTAGCTTTAATATCCCAAGAACATACATATTTTTTTATTTTTCAAGTGCTCTGGAGCAATTCTAAATATTTGGAGTACTATAGGTTGAATATACGTACTAGTAGTTTTCATTTCTCTTCACAACACAATTCTAAAGAACTTGTTTTATGATCATTTGTGGTAACCTTACCAAAACTGTAAAGCAAATCTACTAGTGAAAACTCCAAGCAAACCATTTTCAAGTCAATTAAGATCAGACCCTTATCAAAATTTGCCAAATTTTGGAAGAATAGATTAGCCGTAATTTAGATGGAGTTTTATCCTTTTCCACCTTCTCGTTGTAGACATACTTAATCTATGTACCGAAACTGCGATCCCCAGCATCTCCTAGTCCAGGAATTATGAACCTGAGAAAGCCAAAATCAACACAATGGGGAAACATATATATGATTTTCAAGTCATAAAGTGCAAGGAGTGATGAGGGAGACTTACCCTTTATCATTCACTGTAGGATCGATAATTCCGGTATACACATGAAGACTGGAATACCAAAAGAAAATATCAGTTTAAGCTTTAGAATTGATGACTATCTTATTAATAAATAAATGAGTTATAGTTCTGAAAATCATTACCCAGGGAATTTCTTGTTGAGCTTCTCAAGGACTGGAGGTGCAGCCACAGCAGAAATCTGTTTGAAATGGCATTCCAATTAAGGGAGTATTGAGTAAAGAGAAGCAAGTAAAACTATATTTAACTGAAACTCGAAGACAGAAGAAATTGGCATTTTGAAGTTTAATGGTCATAAATTTACATGTCAATCCCACCTCTTTCAAAGGAGTGCCTGCTTTGATCTAACTAATAAGCATCTAAGCTTTGATATCCATTTAAGCATTCTAACAAGCAGAATTTCCATGCATAAGTAGAAAACTCAAAACTATTCGTCCTACAGTTTATCTAGGAACTCATGTACAGGAAACAAAATAATCCATATGCTTATGGTTGCCTCACAATACAAAGATCTTGAAGCACCTGAATCCAGTTCTTATTTCTCTAATAAAACAATATTGAATATGTCTTCTTAAATATGTGTAGAAAGCTTCCCGGCCAGACTTGCTGGAGGGAGTTTAGTTTATTATTTATAGTTTTCCTCAACAAATTTCTGTTTCTTTACTACAGCATCTTAGACTTTATACTTCAATGGTCTGCCATACTCCTAGTTTAATGAGTTCAGATAATATTTCATAAAAGGTAAACAAATAAACTAGAAAAAAGAAAAAGAAAAAGCAACATCATATCCTTACGATGCTAGACAAATCAACAGCCAGATAGATAATAACTAAACAAGTGCAGTCAAACAATTAGATAAATACCTAATCAGTTCCACCATCTTACATAAATATTGAGTGACTACTTAAAGGTTACCAGATGTAAAACTTCAATAAAAGCAAGAATGAGATCGACTAAATTATTTACCACTTTGATTTGCTGATTTTCAAGCCCTCGTTCCTTTAAGAGGCCAAGTGCAGCCACTATTGTGCCACCTGAAATCAGTTATAAAGAAACAAAGTGAGGATAATACAGATCCAGAACAATTTCCAGCCAATCATAAGAGCTCCCAAATAAAAATATGATGCACAAGATGCAGCAATTCTGACAGGAAAGGGGAAAACATGTAAGTAAAGGCAAAAAGTACCATATAGTGCAATGAAATATTATGTTCATGGAGCAAGAGAATAGTCAAACACATGCATATATGGCTGAAACAGGAATTACAGATCTAAACCTATCACCATATCTTCCAATAGTCGCATGAAAGGCATTACGGTTTGCATTATAATGTTTCCTTATTGTATGCGTAATCAATTCTCAATTACATCCCAAAATCATTGTCCTTGAAGATAGAAAACAAGCAACAGGGAATTAGTTTGTCAGATGATGAATCCTTAATTTTTTTTTTTTTGAGATAAAGATGATAAATCCTTAATTAATAACATAAACGACCAATAGTTTGATCTACTAGGACTAAGGAAAATGACAGCATCATTTAGCCAGGAGTACGTAACTTAATTCACCTTCAACAACATTTAGCTGAGTTGTGCTAAAGGCAATAGTTCACTCAGTTCTCCTTGTTTCTGTCTTAGTTCAAAATTTCTTACAATTTTTATAACCAAGGCTCAATATAGACAACTGTAAGTGGTCATGTGTCGTGGTTCCCATAAGTTGATCTGGGTATGGATGATCAACTTTTAAATCCTGGATTAGGCTAAGCCAATGCTTTTGTAATTTTCTTGCCTTGTGACCTTGGTTATAACTAGGCTAGGACTCGCTGGAAAGAACCACTGGTCCTCCCAGAGTTAGGTATCCAAACCATTAAGAATAACTGTTGAGATGATTTGTATTGCTGTCAATTCCGGATATATGTGTGTGTATATAGGGAAGAGTCAGCAGTTCTAGAATCTAGGATCTGACAACCACAATTCACTTCATGGTTTTTTAGTAGCTAACTATAAGTAACTTATTAATTAGCCCAGGTTTCTATCACATTTATTTAGATAAATGTAAAGTAGATAAACCAAAAATAAAAGATATACGAACTTAATGTAATAATCCCCAAGCTAAATATAGTATTATTTAAATGAATCTAGACTAGGATAATATTTCTAAGAAGCTGATCCCATCTTCTTCAAACACGGATCCTACCATTCTAAATCTTTCTACTAAACAGTCACTAAATCTTTCCAGTGAGCAGATTAGGATTTGTGGTCATAATATTATTTCCCTCCTCCAAAGACTGCTTGTCCAGATGTTTGTAACATATTATTCCAGACCTAGAGGTTCTTCCTGTTCAATGATGTTTTCCTCCACAACTTGTAAGCAAAACAATTTGTTGCATAGATGACATAAAACTATAAAATTGTAACACAACCCCACTAAATACCTCTCCTCCACTTCTGTGCTCCTTAAATATTTAACTATAGTAACCCTCGAAGAACCCATTTGCAAGCTTTTCTTGAAGTGGAAACCACAGATTGTTGACTTTCTCCTTATTGTTCATAAAACCTAGGAAGACTCATGGTTGTAAGGTCAATCGGGTGTTGCAATTCTAACCGCTGTGATGTATTCCAGGAGACAAATAATTGCACCTCCTGCCCTGAAGTGAGGAAGCTGGCACAAGCAGCAAGTTGCTCGAAATGTTGTTGGCAATCCTCCACATTGCCAACTTGGCACAACTTCATGTGTCTGCCAGTTTGTTGCTCCTTACTGGTGGCAACAAAAAAAAGAGATTAAACTGTTGTGTGAATATTTCCCAGGACATTTCTGGATGATCCCTCTCCAACTTGAGGAACCAGTCTTTTGCACCACTCTCCAAATTGAATGAGGCTAGGTCAACCTTGCCCTCCTCCAACATACTTTATCGCCTGAAAAAGTGTTCACAACAGTTTAACCATCCAAAGGAGTCATGTATACCACCAAAGAACAGGAAAATCAAACTTGGAGAATCGTGGTAGATATTTTCTTCCCCCTGTAGTTTCAGCATTTCCCCATTGCATCGATTGTGCATGTGCCGGTTAACACTCCATCCCCTATGTCTCTTCTTTCTATATGAGTTCTACCCAAGTCTTTTGACATTTCCTCTATCTGCTTAGACAAATCCTATTTAGTCTCAAATGCATGCCTATCTTGCTCTCTTTCTGCTGCATCACTTGTTCTGTCCCCCTGTTGCATCTTTGAGAAGCTATAAGACTGTCAACGGAAGGACCTGAAGCCTACCCATGTAGCGCCCGGGAAAAAAAAAAAAAAAAAAAAAAAAAAACGCGCGCCACATCAGCAGCCACGTCAGCAGACCCAGTCAGCAGTCCTGGCCAACCAGGACCTGCCACGTGGCAAAACCACGTCGACCGGGGACGGGCCACGTTGGCGATCCGCGTGCGCGCGATCGGACAGCCCAGATCAAATCGTGCGCACGGACGGCGCAAATTTAATCACACGGACGGCCCAGATTTAATCAAAAACGGACGGTTCAGATTAAATCAAAATGGACGGCTGAGATCAAAAGGCAAAAGGGTATAAATAAGACCCCCACACCAGACCCCAAACCCTAGCCGCCTGCCCTCGCCGGAGAAGACGAACCAGAAGCCGGCCGCCGCCACCCCCCGCCGCACCGAAGGGATTTCCGACCGCCGATCGAGGTAAATTTCATACCCCCGACTCGTTTTTCCACGTTAATTTCCCCAGTGGCCAAATCGGAGCCAAAATCCCGGCCAAACGGCCGGAAAACACGGCCGAAAGCCAGCGGCGCCGCCGCGCCCCTCCTCGATTTTTGCCTCCGATGAGGCCCTTCCCAGCCTCCGTTTAATGCAATTTTTATATCACCGTGATCACCATTCTTTTCTCTACAGGTTGATCGGAGCCGAATCACCAAAACACGAACTTCACCGGAGAGCCACCGCACCCGAGAGCACCGCCGCCGGTAAGCTTCGGTTTTCCGTAAATTTTCGGCCCCCCGAGGGCCGTAGGGTTGTTTTATCGCAGGAACCAATGCGAGTGTGGCCGAATTCGGCCGGAAACGGCCGAAAACGGCCAACCCGAGGCGAACCGCCGTCGCCGGAGCACGGCGGAGCCGCCATGCCGGAGTTGCGATATTGGCCGAAAGGGGCCCTGGGCCTAATTTGGAATTTTTTTTGGAACACGTGCAGGTACCAGTAGTGCGTTTCAGTTCCCCGGGAAAAATTCAAGAAAAATTAGGGACAGCCTGCAAGCGCACTGTGAAGCCGTGTTCGGACCCCGAAACGAGTAAGGACCCCTCACCCTATTTCCTATCACGGTTTTAAAGTTCAATAAAAGATAAAACGGTATTTCATGAATCAACGAATGTGTGAAATTGCTTAAGGTCGCTAATGGAGCCCGAGTCTAGTGTGTTTGTCGGTTAACTGTTATTTGGCCTGTTTTACAGTTTTAAATGCAGCATGAGGTTTGATGTTTTCATTTTATAGTTTCGTGTGCATATCTTTACTGTTTTATTGATTATGGATTGAATGACTGGGATATTGATACTGTATGTTGTCTGTTTGGCATAAATTATCGTTTTGCTTGTTTGTATGTGGATTAATAATGCTGACTGAGGGAAAGAGAGAATGAAAGATTATGTAAATGGGTAATTGTATAATGTGGTCAGCCTGACTAGATATCCTGGGAGATGGTGGACGGACCGGGTCCGTAGGGAACCCTACCGGGATTGTGGTCTCCCATACCGGACGGGGTATGGAGATCTTATGTGTTTTGGCGCCCATACCGGACGGGGTATGGGGACGGCCCGTTTCACCCTCATACCGGACGGGGTAATGAGGTTTATAGTTTTAGCGCCCATACCGGACGGGGTATGGGGACGGCCCTGGAATATGATTTCAAGTGTTAAGGGTTAACGGGTAGCGGGACCCCTATGGATCCCCATGGATACTAGTGGGCTGGTAAAAGAGGAAGAATATGTTGTGTAACGATTATATTACGAAAGGCTTGATAGGTATTACGTTATACAGTTTATATATGATTTCATGATGATGATGATGTTATTGTTTTCGTACACTGTTTTATGGATTCTATCGAGGTAAGTGAATGGTAAAGGTTTTATTATTGATAAAAGGTTTTGTTGTAAATTATGTTCCATTGGTCTTTTTTGTGTTTTCTACCCACCTTTACCTCCGTGACGGTGAGATATCGTGATATCTTTACTGGGCTAGTGTAGCTCATTCCTTATTTAATCATTTCAGATCAGAAAGACCTTGTTCCCGAGCCAGTTCCGCAGAAAGACGACGGAGGGGACGCCTAAAAACTCCATAGCCATATTTGTAGGTTTTACTTTCAAGTTTCTCCTTTAGATAGTTTGATCTTTTATATTGTGAGCACGTTTTTGGTTTTAGTGTAAGGGATGTTAATCGAATTTTTGACTTCGCTTCCGCATTTGATATTTTTAATATACATTCCATTTTAAATTTTCGGGGCCGTTACAGTCCAGCTATGACACTACTTCTTGGTTGCAAAAAGTATATCAGGCTATGGGTTGATTAAGGGTAAAATCCTGGAAAAGGACAGCCGAGTGCTTGTCATTTTCTTCCTATAACTAGGCTATGACTCAGCAAAGAAAACCCTTCGATCTCCTAAAGTTAGGTCCTCTAAAACCTTCAAGAGAAATTGTTAAGACAATTTTTATTACTGCAAACTGAGTACATAAATATAGGGAGGTATTGCCTGCCCTCTTCTGAGAACCTAGGATCTGATATCCATGATTTGCTTCATGCTTTCTCTGTAGCTAACTATCAGCAGCTTTACTAATTAGCCTAGAATTCTATCATACTAATTAAACAATTAGAAAATAGGTAAAGTAAAAATGACATCTGCACTTAATCTGATACTTCTAAGCCAAAGAGAGTTTATTTGCATACATCAAAACTAGGATAATTTTCTAAGAAGCTTATCCTAACTTATTCAGACTGTAGATCCTACCTCTGTGAATCTTTTCAATAAACAGACCAGTAAACAGATTGGCATTTTCCTTAAAAGATTAAGCCTCCCAAAATTTTGATTAAAACCAAAAACAACAGGCACTGTTGGACCTTCCACCCAATGGAAGACTAATATAGGAACTGAAGGTAATATCACTAACAGACAACAAAACCAGATCCTTCCTCCTGATGTATGTCCACATGTATGCATGTGTGTGAGAGAGAGGCAGTCAGGGAATAGAGAGGGAGAGAGAAACATGGTGCTGAAAAGCAACATGTTTATGCATGCTGAACATAAGAGTAAAAAATTCCAGCCACTAGAATTACCTGTGGCAAGCATAGGATCTACCAAAAACACTCGTGAACCTTCAGGAAATTTGTCCGGCAACCTAGAAAGAAGGTAGTAGGATGTTTAAAAGCAGAAAATGGAGTCAATCCAGAGTGATATAAAAAAGATGGACTCTCAATATTATATATGAAAAATGAGGCTGAAGATCAAAACAGTAAGTTCTGATTTCTCATTTTTTAGCTAACAGATAGCAAAGATGCTTAATGTAGGAAGATGTAAACCAAAAATAACTGGTTTTGTAACAAGGAATTCTTACTTATTCAGATACACAGTTGGCAGAAGCGTCACCTCATCTCTGCTTATTCCTTAATATAGAAAAAAAGACACAACATATGATTAGATATTAATGTTGGCAACAGTACAAAACAACAAATGCAATATGTCTTTCGTAATTAACATTTCACAAAGCTTTAGAAATGAATGGAAACCCTCCACTAAACTAGCTCACATGCATGACCATTTCCCAAATGCCTACCCAGATGGTATGTTTTGGTTGCAGGCAAAACTGATGATGCATGCTCCGCGAGAGCAAGGCCAGCTCTCAAGATGGGAACAACCTGAGAAACTAAAATGGTTAAGTACTAATTATGATTCAGCATAAAATCTCTGCTCAGGAAGATTAGCGCTCTATAACCATAAAAAAAAGGTTGACGAGTACAATGCACAACAAATTTTAGATACTAAGAGGCAGCAATGATAAAGAAAGACGAAAGAAAATAATAAAAAATTGCCACTAGAAAACTAACCCCCACAGGTTCCCTTGGATCAATAAACTCAACTGACGCAATGCCCATTGGTGACTGAATCTCCCCTGTTACAGTTGGCTGCCAGCAGTAGCCCAAAGAGATGTGAGGGAGGGATGAGAAAAGAAAGTTGTAAAAGAAAAGCTCACACAACATAAAATAATAAATTGAAGCATTTTCCCACTAATATCTGAGGGAAAAGACTTTAGCCAGCACAAACAATAAGCTCATTTTTTTTTTAAATAAACAAACAATACGCTCATAGTAGTAAATAAGCTCAATTGGATGTATGAATTTATTTGAAGACATGTATCAGAAATGGATCATTTGAGAAAATGAAATCGACAACAAAAATTAACCATAATCCTAAGATTATTGTGACATGGCAGCTGCTATCACTGAGACCTAGGTCAGTAATTTCCTTGAGAAAGACTAGTATCATTTTTTTTTTTTTTGAAAATAACAAAGAAAAGGGAAAAAGACTAGTATCATAAATAAAACAGAAATTACCAGATGTCTTCAGGCTTCTTTCAAAAGTTTAAAAAAATTGCTCATAGATTATCAAGCTACATAATAACTGTTCAAAATCAAATAGAAGTTAAAATCAAGTAAATGAGAAATTATTCAACAACTATGTTCCGCATGATTCTTCATCAGAGACCTCAAATTTCCAGTTTCTCTACATATTACATTTTAGAGGAGAAGAAGAGAGAGAGTAGAGAGAGGAAGAGACAAATAAAGAGACAAAGATAAAAAGGACAAAAACAAATATTAAATTGATATATTCAATATTAAAAGCATATATAATAATTAAAAAAAGGAGTATATATTAGGTATGCTACTATGTTATGAAAATACCTTAGGAACCATTCCACTTAAGGCAAAAGAACAACAACTTGAATTTATTTTCCAAGGTGAAAATTGATTAAGCATCAATGACAATGAAAAGCCTCAAACTAAGCTCAAATAGGAGACGTATAAGGTGACCCATGTTTCTTCACTGAAAGAATTCAAATTCTGGAACATATTAATCATGTGTTTTTCTGCACTATTTTGCTATAAATAATTTTTCCCTGATTCTAGGGGTTTTTAGTAAACTTTTAATAATAGATTATGAGAAACAACTTCCAATGAATATAAGATGCACATAACAAAATATAAGCTCCTACCATGATTTTTGAAGAAAGAAAGGGTGGAGAAAGAGTTCATAACAGGAAAAGGATAGAAAAGGAAAATAAAGAACAATATAACATTTTCTAACACTACATATTGTAACACACTCACCAACCAATCTCTTGAAGCCTCATACATAAGTAGTCTCCCCAACTCAGCCATTGCATTTCCTAGAAAAAAGATTTTTCGGAAAATGTTGATCATGGAAACAAACCACACTCAACGAGGTACAAAATGGAAAGAGTCCAAAACTTAGAAGACTACTCAATTACATAAAGAAAGAGGNNNNAACAGTATGCAGGCCCCAAAAAAAGGGAAGCAGAGAACCAAGAACCTTATTGACTAGCCATGCGAAAAGCCTTTGATAAACTGATCGAGTGGACAAAAATTTCCATGAATCTCAGTATCTAGAACTGGAACGTAAGTAAAAAGTGACATCTCTCATCCAGGCTGTAGCAATTCTTTGAAGTATTTATCGGTTTCCACACTTCAAAGTAGGAAAGTGTTTTATCAAAATTGATCTGTACTCACTGAAAATGGGAGACGGGGTCTGCTCATTCCTCAACACGGAAACCCAGTGCTTGATTAACGGATGCGGTGGCACAAACACCTGATAATCCAGTGACAAAGTGGAATTTAGGTTGTCTTTGAAGTAAAAAGAACCGGAAAGAGAATCGAAAAACCAGAGAAAACAAAAAAGACAGGATTAAAAATAAACTAACGAGCACTCTGTCTTTAGGAAGAGATCTGTCCTCGGTAGCCATGTGAGACCTCACAGTGACGACGCTGCGCCGCCGACTACTGGAACACGCGATCTAAAGTAGAATAGGAACACTGATATTCAATTAGGATAAAGTGGACTTAATCAACAGAAGAAAGAGGACACATTTAACAAAGGCAGAGACGTTTGTGCGGTATCGTATGTCTGTATGTACATACATATATATATAGAGGGAGAGAGAGAGAGGGAGAGAGGTGTGTGCTCGCTACCTTCGCGTGAGAAAGAGAAGATGAAGGAAGGAGATTAGAAGTGATAGGTAGGCTATTAGAGATTCTGGTTTGACGAGTAGGCGCGAAATACGGCGAATGGGAAGGGCACCGGAGCGCAAAATTAATACGGCTCGCCATGCATCCGATGAAATCGAGCTGGAGAGAGAAGTGAGAGTGGGTAGCGTCAGTGGAGCTTTTGTGATAGACTGGGTTTCTAAGGTTGATGATTCGTTTTCCACAACTCACTGTCGGGCCTCGGCCCCATGGAGCTCTCCTCCATTTTTATCCTTTTGGTTTCCTTTTTCAATCCCTCTCTCAAAAAAGTTCGGAAGATGACGAAGTTCCGTGTAATTTTAGAAAATTATTCTTTTAAATTAATGGAAAAAAAACATCTAATTAAAAATATTTTATAGACTTAATATTTTATCTTTTTATGTAAATTAAATTAAATGGTAAAAATATTTTTAGTTAATTTACATACATAATTATAAATTTTGTAATAATATTAAATACCAATATGCACCAGTGTCCACCTTTCAATTTAATGAAGATTCCTTAATTTTTGGTCTTCCCTTAATTTCTTTGTTTTTATTCTTTTAGATATACCTTTTTTTTTCTATATAATTTACTTCTCCTTATCTTTCATATTTTAATTGCAAACAAATTATTATATCAATTTTAAATATATATATATATATATATAGAAAATTCATTTTTATGCTATTGAACTTAATATGTTTTTATGTTGACGATTACATTTTTGCACATATAATATAATTACTAAAATTGTTGTTTATATATCATGAAATTATTTTAGTAAAAGTTAGAATTTTGAAAATAACACAAAAAATTATGCAAAGATGGTTATATATGCTGATTTGTTTAGGTTCATATAATTTTCATGGGATGTATTTTAATTATTTTTAGTTATTTAATCATTAATTATTCAAAAAATAAAGATGTATTAAAGTAATTATGATAAACTAAATTTAACGTAAGAAAATTTAATTTGTCAATGAAATATAAATTAAATAAAATTACTGAAAAAAACTGGCGTCCTTTATGATTATTTGAAGGGTCAATAGACTCTTTCACTTTTTTTTTATTTTTTCCACTTTTCCAAAGTTGAAAGTTTCCAATGTGATGCTCTTTTGATAGAATTTTAAAATTTTGAGATTATTATTCGAATCAAACTTTAATCCATGACATGCTATTTATATTTTAAATTGTGAAATTATAAAATTAATTAATAATTTTTTTTCTGCAATATAATAATTATATTGTAAATTTAATTTAAAATAATTCAAAAAAATTTCAGAAGATTTATCTTTATGCTACTCACTTGTATTGTTATAATTATAAATATAATATAATTACTAATATAACTATGTTCCATATAATATTGAGCTACATGTAAACTCATGCTATTCATCATCATCATGATCATGGATTGTCTAACTATTTATATAAAATAACATTCCTAAATTTTTTTTTAAACAAAGCTAAAATATGTTATTGTAAGTTATGTCTTATTTTTGTAAATTACATTAAATATTTTTTTTAATAAACATAAATTTAAAAAATTTTGCATGCTATTGAAACATGAACAAATATTGAAGTATAAAAAAATAAAATAAATGAATATGTAGACCTACTCATCACTAGAAATTTAAAATTACTATGCTAATTAGATAACACTATAATTGTAACGGCCCCGGAAAATATTAAAATGAAATGAGTATTTAAATATATCGAATGCGGAAGCGAGATCAAAATTTCATTTAACATCCCTTACACGAAAACCCAAAAACGTACTTAAAATATAAAAGATTAAACTAACTAAGAAAGAAACTCGAAAATAAAACTATGCGTATGACTACAGAGTCTCTAGGC